TCTTACTGTTGTTATTGCTATGGGCTGGTTATTATGGAAATTGGATGTTAATAATGCCTTTTTGAAAGGTGATTTGGCTGAAGATGTTTATATAAAACAGCCATCGGGTTTTGAACAGTTTAGTTCTGATGGATCTCTGCTAGTTTGTAAGCTGCAAAAAGATTTGTATGGTATTCGATAGGCTCCACGTAATTGGAATGAGAAACTCAAAGGCAGTTTGTTCGAACTAGGGTTTGTGGAGTCGTGTGCTGATGCTTCCTTGTTTGTTCGCATCAAGAATGGTTCATGCACATACATTCTAGTGTATGTTAACTATATAGTAATCACAGGAAGCTCGAATGATGATATTGAGACTGTTGTGCAAATGTTGAATAGGAAATTCTCACTCAAGGATCTTGGTTCTCTTTCTTATTTTCTGAGAATTGAGATTAAAAGGAATGGTGTTGGTTTGGCTCTTAGTCAAAGGAAATATGTCCTTGACTTACTAGAGAGGAAAAATATGCTTCAAGCCACTCCAACGTGTACTCCTATGTTAGCTTCCTCTAAATTTGCAGGACAAAATGGTGCATTGTTATCTAATGCACATGAGTACCGGAGCATAGTTGGTGTTTTGCTTTACGTTTGTCATACGAGACCTGATGTTGCATTTTCAGTAAACAAGGTGGCTCAGTTTATGCAGGCACTGTGTGAGGAGAATATGTTGGATGTCAAACGTATTCTACGCTATTTGGCCGGTACCTTAGATTATGTATTAGTTTTCTCGGCTGACGATATTAGACTACGTGTGAAAGCATTTTCTAATGTTGATTGGGCTGGTGATGTTGGTGATCGACGATATATATCTGGTTATGGTGTTTTTGTTGGTGATTGTCTTCTTACCTAGTCCTCGAAGAAGCATAAGATAGTGTCTCGTTCAACCATGGAAGTAGAATATTGTAGTGTTACAGAAGTTGTTACTGAGGTAACATGGATTGATGCTTTGTTTCAATCTTAGTCTACAGTCGCTGGATAGACCTATCATTTGGTGTGACAATACGTGTGCAGTTTCTATAATTGTTAATCCAATGTATCATGTAAAGTCAAAGCATGTTGATCTTGATATTCATTTTGTTAGGGAGAATGTTGCAACAGGTCAGCTTCGAGTGAGTTATGTGCCTGCTGGGTTTCAGGTTGCTGATGGCTTCAGGTTGCTGATGGCTTCACTAAGCCCTTGGCAAAGGCAGTATTTCAAGTATTCCGAGAGAAGGATCATGATCAATTGTGTTAAAAGGATGAGGTTTAGTTACAAGTTGCAGAGAGTTTTATGTTATAAAACGGTTCATGTTGTTATGTAATGCAATTTGTTATGGTTGTTACCTAGGGGATTAGGAGCTATAAAAGGAATATACACACCGTGTAATTTGAGCTTAATGAAATGCATTCTTCTTTTACTCTAAAGTTGTTTATTCATTATCAGGTTTGGAAAATTGTATTAACCTTGAGAGCAAAGTTCAAAATTACACCAATCTTGACAAAATTATTTATAAAACAGTGATTTCTATCACGTGAAAATAATTATATCATTTTTTATTCATTTATTATTATATGATAATCAATACTAACTATGCTGTGTTGCAGCAGTACTTTTCTAACAAACCATGGAAAAGGAACAGTGACATTATGGAAGCTGGCGTTGGTTCTTCAATAATTTGGATTATATTGAAAAGCATATTGTATGGGTTGCATGGCAGAATCAGTGCATGAAGGAAAAATAATTATATCATTTTTTATTCATTTATTATTATATGATAATCAATACTAACTATGCTGTGTTGCAGCAGTACTTTTCTAACAAACCATGGAAAAGGAACAGTGACATTATGGAAGCTGGCGTTGGTTCTTCAATAATTTGGATTATATTGAAAAGCATATTGTATGGGTGCATGGCAGAATCACGTGCATGAAGGATACCGTATCGTGTAAATGAATAATTACACATTTCTTTGAATATCATAATATTTAAAATATTTATATATGTTTTCGTATGTCTATAATTCATATTATTTAAATAGCGGGACAGTTATTTGTTTTCATATATCATATCATGGTTTTGGAATATAAAATATAAACTTTAATCATATAGCCCGACCAAACGAATCCACATTGAAATAAAAATTAAAACAAAATCTTAGATGTGGTTTGGTAGTTGAAAATAAATTACATATTTGAGAAATTATAAGATACCGAAATAATTTGAGGGGTGGCCTAAAGTAGCCGCTTCCCCTCAATGAAGCCTATTTTTCTGTATGGTAAACTGCATTAATGGTAATTTAATTATAAGTTTTTGATAATAAATAGATTATTTTTAAAAGTTATAAATATAACCTTTAATTAAAATATTATTATAATCAAATCACTTTCTCGTTAAATACTAAATGAAATAGTGATACGACATGATATAATAACTGTTTGAACCCTTAAAATTAACATAGTTTATTAATTTGATCTTAATCTCAAATAATTCAATAAATTTAACTCTTCGTATTTAAAAATTTTCATCATTTTCATCTTTATGTTTCTCCTAAATTATTTGTTATTTTCCTATAAATATTATAATATTTTCATATTATATTCTTGGTATAATAACATTTTAATAGTAACTTGTTGTTGCTTTATAACATAATATAATTATTTAACTAATGCTTTGATTCGATGAACTCACTTAGTTTAACATTATTTAAAAAAAACTAAATTAATAGAAATTTTAAATATAAATGGTTAAATTTATTGAATTGTCTTGAATTAAGATATAATTGATAGAATGTATAAATTTTGAAAACAAAAAATATAATTATATCATATCACATTAGATGTTGATTTCAATTTTAACGATGAAATATCATGTTAATAATCATATTTTAACTGAATTATATGTTAATAATCACTATCAAACTCATAATTAAATCACATCGAATGTACTTTACCTTTTCTTTAGTGATGGGAGTAGTGGAGTTCCTAAAGCATGAAATGAAAGCTCACCTTTTTATATAATGAAATAAAATGATTTTTTATTGTAAATTTCAAATTCAGTTTTATATATATATATATATATATATATATATATATATATAATATAATATATATATATATATATATATATATATATATATATATATATAGTTGAAGTATCAAATCAATTAAAAATAAATATCTTTTAGTTGTAAGTTTCAATTAATATTTTCCAATACCAATTAAAAATAATAATTTTAACCAAATTTGTAAGTTATTTAAGCAAAGTATTAAATATTTAAATTTAATTTATTTTTTATTAAAATAATTTAAAGAACGTATATGTATAATTTACAGACCAACCATAGATGCAAACGTGTATTAATATAAAATTGAATATAATCTCTTATTTGCTGTACATTGGATATATATAAATGTGTGGATTAGTCTGGAAATTAAGTTAGCTAAGTATATAATCACATCACATGCATCGATCATATTGTTTTTGACAGGTAGAACCGTTGAAGGATATTTTATTTATTCATTATTTAATAGGTTGAGTTTTACATGTGATTTGAAAGTTTGTAAAATTTTAGATGCAAATTTATTAATTCAAAAATAATATTATTCTATTTGAAGTTGTAAATTCGAAAACTTTCAAATTACTATTTTTCAATGATTTAAAGGTTTTTTATTAATTGAGAAATATTACATTCTTAATATAAATATCGACGTTTGAATCACTTGACTAATTAATCGATCTTAATTTAGTTTTATTTTTGTTTTGTTATAGAGATAGTAATAATGGAATGAATTAGGTATGTTCTTTATATTCTTAAATGTATTAGAAAATTAATTGAAAATATTAAATATGTTGTGTATATTTGTGAAGCCCATACTCATTAAAGATGTCAATACCCAACTAATTTTTAATCCTAGACCCATTAAGATTTCAAGACCCACTCAATTTTGAACCTGAATAAAAAAATTATCTAAATTAGTTTAATATAACTAAAGAAAAAACACAAGCCCTACAACTATTTGCAAAGAAAAAGATTCTCTTCTTTCTCATGGTGAGCTGTATGTGTGTCAATGTTCATTGTTCTTAGTTATGTCCTGCACTGAATCACGAAGCTTGAGGCTCAACTTTCTTCAAGACTTCAAGTCTTCTTATCTTATTCATTCCTAGTCTATGATCGAAAATTTGAACAACATAGAGTACATATATACTTTCAATTTCCCTTTTTGTTAACATTATTTTAAATTTTTTATTTAGTCCCTCAACTTTTTATGATTTTCTTATTTCTTCAATTCATCAATCGTTTTATTTTTATCAAATTTGAACCACATGCTCCTATGTCACTATAGAATACATATGTAACTTCAATTCCCTTTTTTTACTAAAAATATTCTCTTTTAATTTAGTCCATTAACTTTGCATTTTACTCAATTTGTTTTTTTTTCTGCAATTGTTTGCAAATTCTTTATTCTCATCAATTCTTTGACTCTTTTTATACTCTCATCAATACTTTACCCTCAAAATATATTCTTTAAAATATAATATTATAAATATATTTTTATAATTTTAGATTATATTTGATATAATAAATAACATTATAATGTGAAAAGAATATGAATATATATATCTTATATAGTTAGAGAAAATCAAAAAATTGGAATCCATCCTTACCATAATACTTCTTATAATTATAATAAGATTTGTATAGAAACTAGAATTGCCACACCCCAATATTTAATTTAAAATAAAAGTAATTAATTTAATTTAATTAAGGTACCAAAATGTATAATTTTAAAAATTTCTGGGCCACTTTCGAATGTTTAGGAAGTTCAGGGACTTAATCTTGAATTTTTCTTTTTTTTTGGCCTGTAGAGGAAAAAAATGAAATTGTGTTGCTGTTGGGGTTTGAAACCCTATTCAACAACATGGTCGGTCATCCTCGTAACAACTAAACTAGGCCACTATTGATATAATAAAATAACCAAAATATCTTTTGGTTAATTTGACTCGGGTTATAACATAAAACCACCCTCATTTCAGATTTCAAAAGTCAAAAAATCACCAAATTTAAAACCTAAATCCCTAGCCATCCGACGCTTTCATTTTCCCCGATTCCTCGTCGTCCGGCCGCCTTGGAGTACACCTCTGCCACCACTAAGACTGCCGCCTAGCGCCGACCGAAACCCCTCTTGTTCCTCATTGAGATTCATCTTCGTTCGCCCTAAATCGATGTTAAACCATTCGATGAGAACCCTATAAACCGCCATTGAAATTCGTCGACTTTGGCCGATCTAGTCGGCGTTGCTACTTACCGCCCTCACCGTTGTATCCCTCGTGAAAATTCAAACAAAACCCAGGTTGTTTTGTCGGCTCTCCATCGTTGCTCCATCGACCATCGTGGGTAAGAGTCTTGGCCAACTTTTTCTTCATTTTTCATCAAAATATTGGATTGTTTTTTAGATAAATTGGGTTAGAAGTGTTAGGTTACAATTGTAGGAGTAATTGGGCCGCCTCAACTGGCATTTTGGCCGCCACACGAGCTGTCGGTACGCGTGGGGGCTTTTCGGTTGGTCCATGAGCTTTCTGGAATCTATCCAATCATACCAAACTGGTCCAATTAGACTGAACCGGGTCGAACTAAGTCAACTTGGATGAGTCAACTCGTTGACTTTTACTTTGACCAGAATTGACTTTTACTTTGACCAACATTGACTTTGACCAGCATTGACTTTGACAAAAAGTCAAATTTACTGAGAAATCATATTTTATGTTTTTCAACGTTTTGAGTTTGAATTCAAAGTTCATTTTGCCAAATTCGAAGTCGAAAGCTTTCGAATTGATCGTTAAACCCGAACATACATATGTACTTAAGTATTTTAATTAAGCATGATTAAATTAAAGTCAATGACTAATTTAAGATAATGTTTATTGAAGGTACTTGGGAATCTCCCGACCGTTCGACAGTTTGACCCAGCTTCTCTCGATCCATTCGATCCCATGAGCTAGTGATTACTCATATGATCCGTGAACCTTATGAATACTTAGATTAAAATTTTACTTCAATAGTAACTCTATTTATTATGATTTAGGTTTTAGCACTGCTGTAGAGTGTGGCGAGACAGGTGCTCAATAGACTCCTTGAGTTATCCCATTTTACGAGGTGTGTTCCTTGTGTGCGATATGTTTGTTCTATCTGTTTTGGATTATGAATGAATTATCTGATTTTAAATCATGATTCTTGTTTTACATATCATAAAATATGTCGCCTTATGTCTGTTTTCTGGTTACCTGTTTTACTAAGAAATAATTGTGTCTGATTTATGATTTACTATCTTTACTGATACTTTTTTAACTGCTTTACCGGGGTATTTCTGGGATTTACCTGGAGTCTCTGAGGTGCAACTACAATCAAGCTGGTAAATTCTTATGAACCTAAGGTGACCTTTGGGTGGGCTCCTAGGCACCCAATGGGCCTAGAGTAAGACCATATGAACCCTAAGGTACTTCCTTAGGGTGGTTCTTTTGCTTTGTGCATTGGGTAAGACCTTATGTCCTGGGGGTACTTCCCTTAAGTAGGCTTTTATGCTTCGACTAGGGTAGGTCCTTATAGCCCAAGGTGTTTCCTTAGATTGGCTTCTATACCCAACGGGTATAGGGCATAGGGTATGCCCTTATGGATGCAGTTCTGGGAAACTGCATTACGGTGTACAAGATGAGGATATATATGAATTTTAAAATATAAACCTCATTGATTATTTTATGATATTTTACTGAATTATTTTTCTGTATACTTTTATACGACGTTTTATTTTGACTATTGGGACACACTGAGCACCCTAGTTCACTCCCCAATATTTTCCCTTTCAGGTACTTTTAGATAGGCAACCCTGACTTGACATTTGGAGAATTGACACATCACCTACAATACTTTTTGTTGTAATGTTTCTTTCTTTCAGACTGCAATTACTTGGTGACATGTGCCTACATTATTTTGAATTACATGTTTTTTTGACGTATTTTATTTTACTACAAAAGCTTGTGATATTGTTTTATACTAGATAATTGGTTTACTTATGTTATTCGATATTTTGTGATACACTTCATGTTTTATGTCTTATATTACCTGATTTAACTTATTTAATATTACTACGATTTTAAGTTTTTTTGAGATCAATAATGTAATCCGTTAGATCTAGTTGTAATGTATAAGCTGGGTCTAGAGGGATACAAGAATAACTCGACTCGACTTGAAATTTTTTTAAGTTGAGTTCAAATTATAAAATACGACTCGTCAACTCGAATAACTCAAAAAAATTTAACTCGCCTCGATATAATGCTCACTCCTACATTTCATTGTTGTTAAAGCTGTCCGTTTATCATCAAAAGTAACGTTTCTTTAAAATACGATTGAACAATCGTTTTCAAGATTGTAATACCGATAATTACATCAATCAAAACCTTTAAAACTTTAAAATAAACTGGAACCCCAAATTTGACCAAGACAATATGACTTGAATTCGAAACCTCACATTTGTAACATATAATGATTTAAAATTTTGAGTCAATAGTCACGCGTTCACCCGATTCAATTAACCATAAAATATGGATTTTTAATTGAGAATGAAAGAGATATGGCTATGAGGTGTAATTAGACCCATTTCACTTTTGAAGACCGATTTCTATGCCTTGTTTGTACGTGAGCTTAGACTTTCATCCATATTTTACTTTCAACTCCTCCCATTCAAACCCTGGCTTTTGAACTTTAAAAGACTCATCCTTATCATCTAAATTAATCATCCAACATCAATAAAGGTGAGATTCATCACCCTTACTCCATGATCTTCAAGAAAAGTTCATCGTCTTGTCCAAAGATGGTGTGAAGCTATCTTGAAGGTTTATGGAGAGATTAAGCTCGGGAAGCTTCTGTAGATCATTTCCATTAAGTTTTATGTTTTAAATTCGCAGCTTTACTTCCCTTAACATCTAGTTCGATGTATAAATTCATTATATGCTTGGTTGATTAGTGAAAGAAGTTGATGAGCATTCTACAGCAAGGAAAGGAGAAAGTTGACGAAGCTAAGTAAAAGAGCTTCCTCTTGTGATTTGCATTGAGGTAGTACACTTTATACTCCAAAATTCTTCATGTATTTCATAAGTTTGGTGATTTACATGTTGAGTATTTTTAAGTCTTAAGCATACTTCAATAATCTTTATGGAGATTTAATGTTAAAATATTATAAAAATAATGCTAAAATGATGCATTAATAACCTTATGCTAAAATGATGCATTAATAACCTTACATTTTGCCCTAATGAAATAAATAGGTAATATTATTATTATGCATCCTCGTGGCCTTAGCATATTTATCAAAACTCTTGGTCACTAGATTCCTAGCAAACGAGTATGTCAGGTTTTAATGTCAGTCTGTATAAGTTTTAAGAGTTGATTATCCTTTGCACCTTTAGTATTGAAAGATTTATCGGTCATTTTACTTTTCAAGTAATATTCACATTGTGGAAGATTGACTTCATTAAGTGAGCTTAAAGGTTCATCTTTCACAAATCCTGTAATTATATATTAACAGGGACGGAACTATGATTGTATTACGAGGGAGCAAATTGTTTAACTTTAAAATAAATAAGGTCCTATAAAATAATTAAACCATAAAAATTAAGAGATGAAAGATTTAGTTTCACTAAATTTAAAATTTAAAGGTCTTAAAAATAATTAAACCACATAAATTTGAGTTAAAGGCTTAATTTCATTAATTTTAAAAGTTATAATGTCCTAAAAATAGTTATATCAAGAGTTTAATTATAATGATTTTATAACTATCAGTGACCTAAAATACAATTAGATCATCAAAGTTGGGAGGTTAATTATCCCTCCTACCTCTAATGTACATTCTTCCCTGTATATTGACGATGTGTCTAAGTCTTAAATCTCAAAGAGAATAATTCTCTTTTTATTTTATGGATGGATAGGATCAAATATCATTAATGTTTAGTGGAGATCAATGGAAGATAATTTTCTCATTAAACTCCACTATCAAAGTTTGGGCCTAATTGCTATTTAAGCACCCCTAACCATTATCAATTCCAATTGTCAGTAATTCTCAATATACAATTCATTACTAAAACAATTTGACTAACCATTGATAATATTATATTATAATTTAAAATATACTTAAAATACTTTTTAGTGACAATATATTAAATAATAATATTTTAAATATAGGGACTTTAGTTTGTAAAAGACAAAAAAAAAAAGACAGACAAAAACATGTGCTACCCACCATTTTAATGTATCGTCAATAAAGAAAATGTACTATGTATTACACATTTTTTTATTTAATAATTGAAGATTGGGACACTGATATTTTTAATTCCTTAAAAGTAGTCATCTTCCATGCCGTATCTTCTCATTTAGATACTTCAAATATATGAATAATATATAGGGAAAAGGCCAAAACAAGGAATAAAATTATTTTTAATTTCTTAAATGTAGTCATCTCCCATGCCTTATCTTCTACTCATATATATATATATATATATATACACACACGGTATAATTTGTTTCTGTGACATATTTTTCTTTGTTTGTTTAGCAAATTTCAATCATTTGACTTTCTTTTTTAAAGATCTCAGGATTGAATTTGATGATATCTTGATTGATCAAGATGATACTTATTTGTTATGTTGTTGACATTTTCTGCTTTAAACCATTGTATTAGATTTGGATACGTAATTTATGTTTTGATATAGTTTTATCACGATGCTCGACTTTGATTTATGATTGATGATCTTTCAATAGTTTGATCCATATAGTGATTTGTTTGCTGATGTAACCGAATTTATTCGTATTTATCTTTTGTTCGAGTGTTTTAGATAAGTTTTAACATTTTCTTTGTATGATCCTTATATTATTTCAAGTGGTTAGTTGTTTGTGTTAATAATTATAAAGATATGTTCCAATTATATATTCATTATAATGTTCGATATTAATCTTTTTTTAATAAAATTAGTGATTTTTATTTACATAAAAAATAAAATGTTAAATATTTTAAATAATATGTAAATTTTATTGATATAGTAAATTAGATAAAAAAAATACCATCTTCTATAATATTTTTTAAAATATTGATTTAAATGATTTATTAATAAATTAAATATTAGGTGTTGTATAATGCACCCCAACAGCAGCACTATTGGTTCACCCCAAATGGCGTGACGTTCCAACACGCAATATCCGACCAAAATGGCTCCTTCCAGCTAAATGTTAATTGCCAGCCGCCCGTTCCCCACCTCATCAATCACGAACATAACCTAAATACTGTTTCCAAATAATATAATAAAATTATAAAAATTATTTTTAAAAAATGGAAAACCTATACAGCTCTTCAACTCGACAATTCTCGGTTCCGTTGTTCTTTTATTTTCTTTAATAAATACAACTTATATTAAAAAAATTATCAACAATTAATTGATCTAATAAAATAAGAGATTATTAAATAAGATCAATAATTTAAATTTAATGTTTACGAATCGAATAAAATATATTAAAAAGATTATTCTTATAATTGACATCAGTAAAATACATTTTGAATTAATCGATTAATATAGAGATAGAAGTGATTAATTAAGAAAAGGAAAAAGAGAATCATTGACATAAGATAGTTTCCAGAAGACCCACTTACGACTTCCTCGGTCTTACCCCTTAAAACCCATTCAAATTACTTTATTTTTATTATTTCAAAAAACAATTCTTTAGTTTTAAGATAATGTTTTTTATAATTAAATTATGTAGCAAATGATTAAGTTGTTTATTAGAAATTATTATATATTTTCTAATATATTAAAACTATAAATTCGTAATATTTTTTAAATGATGATACATCCCACCTAGACAAAGAAAAAGGCAACAGAAGTAGAGCCACTTGAAAGCTCAAATTAGTAATTAAATCCCAAACAACAAACCACACATCGGAAGCCACGTGTTAATTAAACAAGTTGGACATTTGCACGCGGATGTCGTTTTAATCTCTCTTTCTCCTTACATTGCATGAATTTCCATCTTAGCCTTTTTGGCGTTTTTACCTAAATATTACCCTTAAACGAAATAATTAACTATTAGGCATACTTTTCCTAAATATTACCTCTTTAGCATTCTTTCTGACATGGTGGCAATAGAGCATCGTCATCCGTTCCTTCGTGGGGTTCTGTCTGAGCTGGCGTCACGTAAGGGGAAGGCGCAAATTTCCATCCACATCTTTGTGGGGTTCTGACAGTTACGAAAGGCACGGATCATGATATGCGTCTTTCTTTTAATTCCTCAAATGTCTGTCTCCCGCATTAACTATCACCCGTCTCCCCCTCCCCTCTCCCTATAAATACCACACCATAACCTTCAAACCACACTTAAATCTCAAATTCTCTCATTCTTCCTATTATCAATATTTATATTAATAAGGTAAAATATTTTCTATTATATTAGAATTATTTAATAATTTATTATTTTATTAAATTTTATTGTACTAATTTTTTTTTTTACTTTTTTCAGTTATAAAACGAAAGTCGGGTTGTTATGTTTATATGGAAATCATATCTCGAGGCATTTTACTGATACAGTAACAATTTTAAATTGTGTTGTTATTTTAATTATTATGAATGTTTTATTTATTTAAATTTTTAGAATTAATTTATATTTAATTTTTAAACTATTTATTAAATTAGGAGAGAGACTGTATATTATATTCATTCATTTGAAACGTTAAGTTAGAGATATCTACTCGTGTCTGGCCATATTTAGCCGAGGCTGGATTCAGTTACGTAGCGAAATATGAAGGGTATTGTAACCTTGAATCCAACCTTATTTCTGCACTGGTTGAGAGATGGAGACTAGAGACACAC